TACAAAATTCAGCTTTGTTTTCAGCTCGTTTCAGGTGCTACTGTCCGCCATCTTTTTTCTCATTTTTTCTCGAAACTTTCTCTGACGCAATTGCCCACTTATTAGCCTTTCCAACTCTTTTTGAAGGCGAGCAACCTCTACTTTTTTGTTGTTGATTTTTACTTCAACTTTTAATGCATCTGATGTTCCAAGCATGCCAGAATCTAGTAGAGACTCCAAAGAGGCAGTCTCAGCCTGGACCAAGCTGATCTCGGCCCTGATCCTGTCTTGGCGGTATCTTCCACGACCCAGATGGTGGTGGTAGATGGGCCCAGAGGTAGTAGCAGCTGCAGCAGCCTGAAGAGGGGAGGAGGAAGGAGAGGAGGAAGGGGGTAATCTCCCACCATATCCTCCAAACAAAGAGTGGGTTCCAGGTTGGTGTGATGCTGAGAGAGATACGTGGCCCGCGGGGGCGACCAGAGGGGGGAGGGAAGATGCCGCCACAGAGGAAAGTGGGCCCAACAACTGGAAAAGGGAGAGAGACAACTTTGTGTCAGGTCACTCTCAGTGCTAAGATGGGGCTGATCATACCAGCTGATCCAGTCTGAGGCTTTTCCCTTTCCAGAGTGACACATGTCTTTTTCAGACTGATCGAAGCGAACACAATGACAGCTTCACCTCCACAGCAAGAACAAAATGAGACAATGTGCCAAGCAAAACCTACCTATCTACCTTATGTCGCTATATATCAATGAAAGTTTCGCCCAAGTCCCGAGGTGATAAAACCTCATTACAGTAAAACCTTTGAGTCCATCTCTACACAATGCCAATAGCACAAGACATTATTCCTGCAAAAAAGCTAGTTACCTTCAATAAAAGTGAAATTCCTCCCTTAACATAAAAAAAAAATAAATAAATAAATAAATAAATAAAAAAAAATAGCAAGCTCAACCTTAGGTATAACTTGCAAAATACTCCAGTTTAATTTCAATTCATCAAATAATTTACAATGACTAAATATTTAGAGGAGTAAGAACCAAGAACAGGATAACATTAATTCTGACAAATCTCTGCCACTGGAGCATTTTGCTTCCGATAGTTTACTGACTCCTCCTCAGGATTCTTAAACTTTATGTCTGCATAAAATGTCTATTTTCCATCATTATTATACTCATTAATTTAATCAAAAGATTTTCATTTTGCAACAAATCCTTGTGCTTCCAACAAATCACAACTGAAATGCTTTACAATCATTTCTTTATCACTTTCATAAATTCCAATTATTCAATTATCTATATCCATTTGAGGTAAAGGAGAAATGATTGCAAACATTAAATAGTCTAATACAAAGAAGCACAATGATCAAGATCAGGAGGAATCAGTTAATGCTGACAGGAAGCAACAAACCGATACATATTTCAAAAGCGATCCAAAATAAAGGAGACTAACTTCTTCATTGCAGGTAAATAGGAAAATGTACTTAAGTACAACTAGAAGCTTCAATCGTTCCCCTCAGATGAGAAATGTGCATTTAACAGAAAATAATGAATTTAGACATTCTAACACTTCCCTTCTTAACAACAAGCGTTAACACGTCTTGAATCACTGACGATTTGAAATTGTTGCTTCCTATTAGCATCACAGAAAGGGATGAATACTTTTAGCGGAACACTCACCATTGCTGGATCTCCAGAGGGAGGCATGGATCCATCTGTATGGGGTAGCATTACTTCGGGGAAGTTGGGATGGTTTTCAGACCCAACTGAGGAGTCACCCCCTCCCCCATCCCCTTCAACACCCCAGTCCCCTTCATCCTCTTCTCCTAGGTCCACCACATCTTCTTGCTTGATCTCCTGCACAAGAACTTTCAATTATTTTCTCTTAAATTAATAAAGAGCTTGTTATATGAAATGCAATTATTATGCAATGTGTCTATCTATAAGCCATATTTCATCAAAAAGACAATATCTAACTTACCATTTCTGGCTCTTCTTTTGACTGTTGGGGTTTGTGGATTCCAGATGGCCCAGGTGAGGGCTCTTCTCCACTATGACTTGGTGGCAACTGGTCTAACTGAGACGCATTGTCTCCCGTATTACCCACGGGTTGACTGCTGCCTTGTTTAGAACTTAGACTAGGTGTTGTGCTCGAATTTTGTTCACTGAGTCCACTGACACCACTCTGTACACTTGTTCTACTGTCCTCATCTAGAGTTGCTTCCACAGGGGGTATACCAATTTGAGAAGCACCAGCTGAAGGGGCAGGGGGCTGGGGGGATCGAGATCTGGGCACTGTAGGTGTTGTCGAAGTATACGAGGATTGTGGGAGGGACGCTGGAGGTTGGGAGGGAGTGGAGTGTGGAGGCGATCTTTCTCTAGGTCTCGCTCTCTTAGCTGGGGGACTGTGGTGTTCATGTTGCGTTTTACTATCTTTTTTCTCTCTATCACGTTCCCGTTCTCTTTTAGAAACAGGAGGGTCATCAGGCACTGCTAAACCTTTTATTTGTAGTCCTTCTGCAGTTTTAATAAGAGATCCTAGACTAGACTGAGGAACATTCACTTCACCATTGTACATGAAGTCCAAAAGAGCTTCGAGATCACGGGATGTCACATCTTTCATAAACACTATTGGATGTTTACTAGGGTTCTTAGTAAACATCTGTTTAAAATAGTCACTACAGGTACTGAGAACAAACTTATGTGCTGCATATAGCTTTCCACCACAGGCCAAAGTGGCATCCACAAAGATTTCCTGAAAGAAAAAAATAATAGGAATAAATATCTATGAGATCAATAGGGAAATATTGCTTAAATATTAAGTACCTACTTCTTGCATCAGAATAAATGAAGAGATTACCTATTTTGCTGAAATGAAAATTTTGCCTCAGGAACTACATTGAAAAATAAATTGGTACCTTCATAACCTAATCTAAATAACAAAGTAGGGTCAGCAGGGAGTAATTTCTCAGATCAGATCAAGATAAATTGTCTATATTATCCTTCACTAGGATCTATGATGCTTACCTATTAGAAAAAAAGGTCCATCTTCACTTACAACAAAGTAATCCTTTTATCCATTTCATAAATTAAATAATCTACTCCCCTTACCAACGCATAATAATCTACTACCAAATGTTCATGTTTATGCTATTCCATAAGAGAAAGTAATTCGTCAAACAATTTACTTAATTTTCAAAACTATAATGAAGTATATTTTGGAAAAAAAAAACAAACAAAAACCCTAGGCTTTAATATTATATAAATCTAGTTTTTTTTTTTTTTTTTTTTACTTAGCTATCTAAACAAGCTGTAGCCCAATAACAACGGGTAAAATCTTTTGATAAAGTTAGATAAGGTTCAGCAAGACGGGCATATGTTTGCATGTGCTACTCCACACCTGGGCAACTGTCCAGTAAGGATGCACAAGACATAACCTAAATGATCTGGGTACCGACTCATGACATGTGGCATCACCTGGCCTCTGTGATTATTCACCAACACATTACAACACATTACCTATTGCCATTGGTAAAATTTTGAGTAATATATAAAACTATATTTCAAACATTTCTGATATCAAATACAAATACAAATGAAAAGATAATGTAAGTAGCAGATTTTATATTGAAAATATAGTATGTAATAACATCAACTCTAAAATAAAAACTGTATAGAACTTTGAAAATTGATCTGATGTATGGTCTTCATAAACAGTTGAAACTGCTATTGCAACTATTGCCTTTCTGGTAAAAAATACAAATTGTGGATGTTATCGCAAGCCATAGGGCCTGCAAGGACATGGAAAATCCACCCACCCTCTCATCCAATGTTTTTTTATTAGGTCATTTTCAAAGATAATGTACATAAATGACTTTACAAGCTTGTAAGGGTCTCTCCATACCCAATGGATATGCTTTGAATCAATTAGAGAAAGTGAGTTTCTTCTGTAAGGTTAACTTTTTTTTTTTTTCCCCCCCCCTTTTTTGAGCCTTCAAATCAGTTATCTTTTCTGTTTTTATATGAATATATATTTCCCTGCTTCAAAGAGTGAGAAAGATCCAACAGCTCCACTCAGTCTCGCACTCCATTCGTTTCACATACTTCTATAATTCTCTAAGTTGAATGAATATATTGTAATCATGCTAGAATTATGTGATTCTAATAAATTCTTTACTAAAATAGCCATTGACGCTTCCCTTTCTTCATAATTAGAATAAAAAAAAGATATTCATTATTAATATTTACTTTAGTTCAGTTTATTTTAAGATTTAATGCAATTATGGAATATTTCATAAAGGAATATCTATTTCCATATAAAAAAAAAAAAGGTTGATTTACAAAATGTATTACCTACTGAAAACATTGACAACTGATTGTCAATAGTGTCACTGAAAAGAAACTAAAAAAAAAAAAAAAAATCATATATATATAAATATATATATATAGACAAATATATATATACTTTTTATATATAAATAAATAAATATATATAAACATAAAAATATATAAACATATATATATATACATATATACATGTATATAAAAAATATATAAATATATAATAAATAAATATATATAATATACATATATATATATATATAATATATATAATATATATATAATATAATATATATAACATATATATAAACATATATATATATATATATATATATATATATATATATATATATATATATATATAATAAATGTATATATATATATACATATATATATAGTATATACGATTTATAAATAAATATATATTTATAAATATATACATACTTAATATATATATGTATATTATATACATAAATATTTCTAAATATATAAATATATATCCATTTATATATTTACATATTTAAAAATTGTAGATATACAAATTTATAATTATATTATATACATATATTACACATCATATAGAAGTATATATATATAGAAATATATGTAATTTATATATATATATAGATATATACATATGCATATTGTATATAAATATTCATACATAAAAATATACATATATATATATAAATACACACAAACAAACACACACAAACATATATATATAGATATATATATATATATGTATATATGTATATATATATATATATATATATATATATACATACTTACATTCATATATATAAACACATATATAAATACATATGTATATATATACACATATATACATACATATATATACAAATATAAACATACATATATATACACATATAAAAATAATATATACATATATATACACATAAATACATTTATATACATATATATACATACATATATATACACATACATAAATATATATACATATATACATATATACATACATACATATATACACAAGTAATATCATATACATATATATCTATACACACATATATATCTATACACTCATACATATATATATACACGAATAATATCTATACACGCATATATATACACGAATATATATCGATACACGCATATATATATATATAACGAATATATATATATATATAAATAAATATAATATATAATAATACATATATATATAATATATATATACATATATATATATAAATATATATTATATATATAATATATATATATATATATATATATATATATATATATATATATATATAAACTATATATACACGCATATATATATACTTGTGTATATATATATATACTAGCTTGTATATATATATAATATATATATATATATACAAATATAATATAATTATATATATATACTAAGAATATATATTATGTGAATGGGCTCAGAGTTGTATATCGATATATACGTATACGGTGTATATTGTGGATAGGTAATATTCTATAATATCGCATTATATTGATGACGTGAGCGATATGTATATGGAGATACGACTTTACATATGTATTTTATATATACTTATTAGCAGTATTACATCATAGCATGACATATATAATGATACTCTAAGTATAGTATACATATACATGACATTCCATACATAATAGCAATGAATATATTGCATACAGTATTGACGATAATATATTCTGACGTTACTATAATATAGGAGGTTGTAGATTAGCGTAATGTATAGAATGTTATCGTAATATTAGCACCGCATCTCAGCATATAGGAGTATAGGACTCAGGTAGATGTGCTATACAGGCATATAGTCATATAAATAGTACATAGAAGTACTAGTAGGCAGGTACATGATACATATATACATATACATACATAGTAAGGGAATGATATAGGTACTATCATACATATAGAATGATATTCATGTAAGAGCACAGATATAGAAGGTATAAAGTAGTATTAGATGCGAGGCGACCAGGTGTATAACATATATCATTGGCATAACATATAGCACTACGTGTAGTAAGCTTGAGTTCGATGATATTACATAGGTACGGTTGTGCGTATATATCTAGCAATGACATCACATACAACTAATAAATGCATGACATATTAAATAAAGGATTGAGCCATACTATAAAATAAAATATATAGCTAGTGTCTCCATAATACACATATATATGCACACATAGTATATATAGTCGTAACTCCATACACGAATACTATAATGACGCAAGCGCAGGCGGATATGTTAATATAATTGTGTGTTATATAGTATAAGTATCGATATATATACAGCTACAGTTATATATTTACCGAGAGCATACTAAGTATAGTGGCTTGTAATATATAGTATAGTTAGGTCTCGCATATATAGCGTAGGACCATACCGTAACCATATATAGTAAATGTAATAGTCCGTTTATATAAGTATATACTATATACCAATAATAATGATACATAATATATTGTTATACATATACATATATATATATCATATATATACATACATATAATAAATACATACATTATATTTACATATAAATATTTATACGATAAGTATATACCATACATTTTAATATATAGCATAATTATTATGTAATTAGTGAATTATGTGATATATGTGTATATAGTATACAATATAATATTATATACGTGAATAGTAGTAGATTTAAATACTGTACGCCGGTTGTAGTTATGATTGACTCGTTTACACTTGGTGGGAGGGAAGTAGTTTTTCGTATGACTACTTCAGTTGTATATATTTAAGTGTTGTAATCTTAAATATATATAGCTAGGTAGCCCGTGAGATAGGATATAATTGGCAATAGGACAATATAGGCATAGGTATAGCATACAATAGTGAGGTATATAGCGATAGTATATTGTAGTTGTAGTAGTAGCATATGTAGATATAGTATGATACCATTATAGCAGTAAAGTACATACATATATCTGTAGTAGTAGCAAGATATAGTACGTGTAAGTGATATATATATGTATATACTATATATAGTGTATGACTGTACAGCTGAGTCGTATTATATGTATAATACATAGTCATATAGTGATAGGTATATATATATATAACATATTATATATATACTATTGATGGTCATAAGCATTTATATCATACAAGGATACATATAATATTAGCAGTATATATATAGCTATCAATACACAGCATGATATATAGCTAGCATGCTCACACATCATATGATAACTGTCACCCACAACGTCATATAATAGTATTAGCACCATATAGCGCGATATAGTATAATAGCACACGACGCATATATATATAGTAGTTTAGTATAATATATCATAAGACAAATTAAGTAAGTATATAGTTATATAGTTATAATATATATACACCACAAACCGCATATATAGTATGATGTATT